TGCTACTGCTACTGCTGCTACTAGCCTACGGTCCACTGCCAACTGCTGGTGCTGCACTACAACAAATCTAACGAATGAAAATACCCTCTCGAAGAAAGCGATTACAACGATGTCGACTACCACTCAAGCGTCGGTGGCAATATGCGGTGATAAGCACGATCACTCTGTGAGTTTGGATTAATTCTGATCAGTAGTGACACGGTCGCTGCAGGAAGCGATAGGCAATGCTTGAATTGTCGCAGTATGTATCCAGGACAGCAGCACCCTCTTCACTCATGCTGCCGTGACAATTTCTGGTCTTCTTCTGTTGAGCGTGCTCTCGATCATCTTTACTTACCTTCTGTTAGTTAGGCTACCGTTGCTGTTGGCGGTGGCGGTGCTGGTGGTGCTGCTGCTGCAAGTGTGGCTATTCCCATATCAGCTGCATTGTCAACGTTGAAGAACGCCCGTCCCTAAATCCCGAACGCCCGGAAAGCCAGCTGCGTCTCAGTCGGCTCCAAGAACACGATGATGGAGATGAAGCAGAAGCTTGGAATTGGGATGGATCTTGGATATCATTCTGCAACTGTCACTTTGCGCGTGCCGCTTGCGTGGCCTGATTCATGCGGTGCGATCCGACCAGCATCTTGCATGCACACAAATGCTCGGGTGTCCCGCGACAGAGACGCCGGACATGCTCCATGAATAGTTGGTGAACTGCTCGAAACTTGCCACGATGACACATCCAGCTTGTGCTTGCCTGCAACATCCTAAGCATCGCGAGATACGGACGACATGCACACTCTCGCCTCCTTGGTGCAGGGAACTGGCGCAGGTTGAGCACGTACGGGTCACGTCCACTCAAGACAAGCTCGAACTGGAAGTGGCCAGGGTTTTCAGCCACTGGGCACCCGTCTCCTGTCAAGATTTGGCAAACCAAGAAAGAGGTTGTGATCTATCTTGAAAACGCTTGCGCAATGTCACATGGTTGCAAGCCTGCGAACATGACCTGCATCGTCGACTGCAGAATTCTGGCAGACACGTCCTCCAAGAGTGTTCTTGCTGCAACGCCTTGCGCGCGATCCAGGCAGATGGAAACTGCAGCTTCGTGGGACATAGCGAAGGGCTGGCTGCGCGACATACTCCTCGAGAGCTCGATTTGCACCCAGGCACTCAGCATTTTTGGATGCAATTGAAACCGCTCGCGGCTTTCAGGCACTTAGGACAATATCAGCTGGTTCAACTTGGCTGACCAGCCACATCTGCCGCAGAAGTTCGAGCACCTGCTCCCAATCATCTGTCGCCTTCGTAGCAACAATCACCGCATTGTATGTGACCTCGTCACGCAAACCTTAGCTGATTCTAGCCGGGACAGTCGGCATTCATTCATGTCTGTGAGTTGAAAGCCTTCGATGTGGATTTAGGTGCCCAGCTCTTGTCCATGTGGTTGAATGTCCACAACACACGCTGCCATGCCAGTCGCTGTTGGCACGCCGTAATCGCGGCATTGTAGCCTTGATTAAGGTCCCAGCCCCCAAAAATACCCACCGCTCAACATGTTGATGAGGAGGATGATAACGATGATGATGATATGGTGATGATAATGATGATGATGATGATACCAATGGTGATGGCGAGTGTGATAATAACGATGACAGCAATGATGATCACGGGCCGATTTGGAAAAGGCTGCTGCTCAGGGACCTTTTTCGCTAGACCTTGCTTCGCCCCACAAACCTCAACAAACTTGCCCCAACCTTCAAAATCATCAGCTCCACCAGCGTTTTCGCCGTCTCTCGTGCTACTGACTTTGCTGCCCGGCTTCACAGGGTAAGTTCAAGGTATTCTTGTTTGATGGATGGTGCCATTAGGGATAAGGTAAGGCTGAGAGCGACTGCCGGTCTGGGGGCCTTGCTCGCATCATCTGGAGTCTGCGCATATGCGGGCATAGTCCACAGGGTTTCAATCGCATGCTTCCAGTTCGACCCCTTCTCACAGGCACTGATGAAACTCAGTTCTGAACAGGCACTGATAAAGCTCATGTTCATGTTGATTCTGGTAAAACCCCTTCGCTGAGCGCGCGACCTGTTCATGCAAACCAGATTCGGCGAGGTCAGTCCGTCCTTGGCTACGGACATGCGCCTCACTGCTTCCGTTGGTGAAATTTCGTGCACATTGGATGTGCTGCTCAGCGAAACACTGGATGCAACTTTGCCGTCAGTGCTCCAGAAGGTTCCAGAGTCGGAGTGCCCGCCGCCACTGTTTCCCTGCACAACAGCATATCGCCGAAGCAAAGCTCACCGCATCGGGTCGAACAGTATGGTCCTCGTGTCAACAAACCCTTCCAACAGCCACTCTTGATCGCTCTACTATAGTGATGCCACATCATGTGTGGTGCCGAGAGATAACAGCTTAGCACCAAAAAGGCGGGCCGACTGCAGCTGAAGCGTCTTGCATGGCTTGCAAAATGGACAGCGACAATTGCCAGTCGCCACAAAGCTGGCAAGATGCAATGGCTGTATTCCAGCTCACCAGGCTCAGGTTGACCCCATAGCTGGCCATGCCTTCGACAGAAGTTTTTCCGAGCAACAGGCTTTGGGGCTTGGCGGCCTTGCCGCCAAGTCTCTACTCAGAATGGCCAGCCCAAGCTCCCACTCACCTCCGTCGTTGCAGGCACCTTCAGCCAATCGATGCCAAGCGCAGGGCGTGGAATGAAGAGCTTTCGACAAGCTTTGAGGCTCGAGCCGGCAGCGATGTTGAAGGACATCTCCTCGGTCTCATGCACTCCGTTGAAGTTTGAAGCCCGAGCGGCCTAGCGATTTCAGAGTACGGGTTTTCTTGTTTATGGTTTCTGCGGTTGAGGTTCCAGCCGCTTTAGGGTTCGATTCTTTTGGGGTCGAGGTTGTAGGAGTCAAGAGTTTATGGTTTTGAGGTTCCAGGTGATTTCTGAATGTATTTCATTCAAGGGCTTTCGTGAGAGCAGTATAAGCTTTCACGGTTTTGGTCGTCCAGTGCTTGAAGTTTCCATGCCGAGAATGATGCAAACTAGCTGGTGCCCGAATCCGCCGTGAGTGCATGCATAAACGCTGCAGCCACTGCATGTGCTCGTGTGTGTAAGCTTCAGTTCGCCATTTTGTGGATGCGGGGCTTACAACGGGCCAAGCTATGCCAAGCTGTGCTTGTCAAGCTCCGCAGAATGCTTTTTGGCAGGTGAGCTCGGATGACGTTGGAACAGAGCCAGGATATCAGATGTGGCCGGAAAACTCATTTCCGAAGACAGCGGCAAACTCCAGTTGGTTGCAACTCAGCTCGCGGCATCAACTCTCAGACACATACCTTGGCTGTTCCGGTCTGTCACTTTGACATTCCACCGTCGATTGCAAACTCAGTCAGTCCATGTCAGCGAAATCATTCCACCAGCGCAAGATTCGTGGAGTAATTCTTGTGTTGCTTGTGTTGAGCAAGAATTCGCGAAAAGTGCTACTGTACGGAATGATCGCGCCGACTTGACCTGCACCTCCAGAGGTGTTGTTTGAAAATTGGCCAAGCGTCTCAATGCTTCATGCAAGCAATGCACCGCCACGTGCCAAGACTTGCCTTTGGCACACGCCGCAACCACGCAGTTCAAACCTGAGGAGAGACCAGCATGTCTACAGGGTCCCTCGGTCCGCAAACTATCCTGTATCAGCTGATCGTGCTGCGCAGTTGCTGTGCCATGTCAGTTCTGATGTCAACTCCGGAAGGCTGGATATAATAAAAAAGTGCTTCTCTTGAGAAATTCAGAACTTCCCGCGAACTCTGTACCTGCACACGATGCAGCAAATTATCCCAAGCAGTGCAACGACCGGCTTTTTCTGCATGTACAATGCGGACCCCCAGTGCCTGGCACAGTCCCTGCAAAAAGAACGTGGACCCATAGAACCAGAGTAACAAGAAGAAACAGACTCTGAGCCCGCGACAGAGGGCATCTGGCCGTAAGAAGCGGTTCCGGATCATCATAGCCCAAAGGCGCAATGCCAGCTCCCATTGTATTTGTACAGCCAAGATAGTGGAAGTTATCATTTTCTTGTCGGCCGAGAGCTGTGAGCGCAGTGCGCACCCGAGCAGCCCCACCGCTTGCCTCAGCAGCATGCACGGATCAGCGGCAGACCGCAGAACGACGAAGTGCAGCGGGACGTTCTTAACATCGTCGGTTGGGAGCCCGAAGCATTGGATGTCCGAGGCCTGCACTTCCAACAGCCTGCTTTCCCGCATATGCTGATGCTTGCCTCTGGTGCCGCGACAACAACGCAGAATGGCCCCTTCTTGCCGATGAGCCTAGGGTAGGGCCTAGGGACGCAAAAAGAGAGCTGGCGCAACTGGAGGCCCAAGTCGATCGAGTGTAGCAGTAAGCGGAGAGCAGCTCGCCATGCAGACGCCGCCTGCCTGGATCTCATGGACACAAAGAGATGCAGGGTGCATTCAAGGGCCAAGTAAGGGACCTTGCAGAGATTGCATCCGCTATGGCAGAGTTGCAACTGACCAGGTCAGGCTTCACCTGGCTGCATTGAGATGCACGATGCGCTCTCCCCTGCGCCCCGCCTCTGCTAGAGGCAATGCTGCCAACAAATGCAGCGGCAGAGTCCAACGGGACCGGGAGGCAGCGATAGCTGCATTGTGGCCTAGGCGAGAAATTCTTCGCACAATCTCAAGCAGCGCAGGCTGACTTGTGGGGAAGGGGCTGATAAGAAAGATGGAACAGGTGCTGGCACCGGCTTGCAGCCAGCCTACATTCGATACGCTTGCTCGGAACAAGTATCCGTACCACGTGACGACAGGGGTTTGCAGACCAAGAAACATTCGCCGACTCCGCCTCTCAGCCTAAATCCTGTGAGTCGGATGTCGAAGGCGGATCGTCCAACAAAGATTTATGGAGCTGTGCCCTAACACTGTGACAGGATGTCTCAGGGTTCAAGGTTATCGGCTCTAGGGTTTAGGTTCTATACATTTGATGCCCGTTTTGGAAACCAAAATCCTCTGTTCTCAGCCGAGGCGTGCAGACACGCATGCAATGAGACTCGCCGGGATCCGCCGGAAACTCCATAATGAATATTAGATGCGCTTGCTGGGAACACGTCTCCGAACAGGGGTCAGGAATTCTTGAAGGCCATGAAACTTGGCAGTCAGCTATGGTTCACTTACAGCTTTCTGCAGCTTTCTTGTATCCTTGGGGTCCCGCGTTAGAAATCAGTAGAACTTGTTCTTTTCGAGAAGCTGTCATCATGTAGGATCCAATTGAAATATGATCTTTTCGTGATTTTCGTTGTCACTTGAGAAACAGTTCGAACAACATGATTTTCGAGGCAGAGCCATAGAGTTTGAGCGCCTCAGACTGTCTAGGGGATTAGGGCCCAGGGTGTAGCATCCTGGATAGGTCTCGAGAAAACAACCTCTGCCGGCACTGCGTGGTGTGCGCAAACAACTAGCTGGGCATAAACGATATGCAAACTCTCACTTGGTGCACCATCCCTCGGAAAGCCGTGCATCTACAGTCTACAGCACATTGTTCTTCAAGGTTGTTTCAAGAGCGAATCCTAGAATGTGGCCACGAGTGTCAACGTCAGACGGAAGAGCTTGCCAGACTCTGAAACAGGAGCTGGCACAGCAAGATTCCCTGGCACGCCGCGCTGAGATATAACGAAGACGAGTCTTCAATCAATCGGTGAACACCACCAACCGATGGCCTGGTTCAAGCACTGTACTTGGATCCTGCAAGCTAACGCAGGGTTTCGGTTCCCATGCTCCAGCATCCAGAAAACAAGCAGCAGCTGATTCATGATCTTTGGCTGCCATGGCATTGCGGGGCCTGCAAGCCCCCCGAAGACGGTGGAATCAGGAAACACACTCGAGACTGGCTACAGTAGCCCCCTACCAGGGTTGACCAGCCTGGAAATCGCGGAGTTCAGTCTCGAGCCCGGGCTCTCATCTTAATAAGAATAAGATGGACAAAAATTGAAAACTCACACCCTTCTTTTCCAGGCCCCTTGCCAAATCCAGGCGCCCTGCAGGACAGCTCCAAAATCCCAGAAAAATGGCGCACCGGCCACAGTTCCCTACAGCACCCCCTTGTTCCAACCCCGCAGGCGAGCTTTCGTAGGGAAACAATAATGCTGAGGCCAAGACATCCCAGGCCTGGTCGGACACCCTGAAGAAGCGCTTCCATCAGGCAAGTCCTGTGCCAACCAAACCGGTCTTCACATTCAAAACCAGCCCGTGCTGCCGAAGGGCAAGGCCATCGCCCATCGATCACCGTCGTACAAACCCACGGCAGCCTCGTCAAGGCAGCCCCCAAGTGTCAGGCTGCCGCAGCCTCAAAATGACCGAGGCCAGCACTTGCAAGCTGCGGGAAGTCCTCTTGGTGTTCCCTCTTTCCAGCACTGTCCTAATCCAATGCTTCAGTCAAATCTCGCCTGGTCGCCACTGCTGTCAGAGACTAACGGAATTTCTCCAAGCGTCTCTGCGACTTCCCAGAAACCAGCTGTGCCAGATACCTGCACCACCTCGGTCGGGGGGATGTCGGGATGGAAGTGAAAATGTCTAGCTCTGCACGGTCGCGCTCTCCCGAGTTCAGCGCACAGCTGTGGCTCACGTCGTCTGGCTCCAGAGCATCAATTCGCATGGTCCGCAATGAGCTGATCGCACGCTGCCAGTCACCCCTCTCTGCACAAGCCACGATCAAGACACTCTGCAGAATGACATCGGTCTCTGCCAAACCTAAGAGATCTTCAAGTCTCTTGCAATAACGAGCTACTGCCACTCGACTCGGACTGCAGCTGAGGAACGTTTCTTCACACCCTGCAGCACGCGATCTACGATGGAGGGATTTGCATCCTGGCACAGCATGGCATCATGATCAACGTGCTTACCGTTGTACGCAGAAGTCTTCACACCAGGAATGGTGGCAAATCAGTCCTGGGCCAACTTCCTCAGAGCGACGGTGCCGCCAAGACGACTCTTACAGGTCAGCTCAATGACAGACTTGATAGCATCTTCTCGCGCGTCTCCGGCATAGACCTCCTGCATCTGGCATTGTCACGTCCTGGAGTGGGCATCTCCTGCTGCGCCTGTTTTCACCACACTGTTCGCTTGGTCTTTCCGGCACGGCAATGGGCTTCATCCTGCCTTCCTGATGAGACCCTGTGATGAAACATCACTGTGCTCTGTAGACTCTTTAGACTGTGCGGGCAGGATCCTGCTGGGTTTTCAGGAGACTCTTCATAGCATCTATACTCTTGAGTCCAGAGCTGCAGGCTGGCGAGCCCTTGAGAGCCGAAAGGCCAACGGCCGCAGCTCCGGAGAATCGATGGACACATGTTGTGCGTGTGGAGGCATTACCATCAAGCTTGCGCTGCTTGGTGCCATGAAATCCGCCCTTCCCTGACAAGGGGAAATAACACTCAGAAACATGAGACCCAAACGCAAAGATGGATGACCATGGACTCGTATTCAGTCACACAGCAATCTCACAGACAGGCTTTCGAGTGGGTCAATGTGGATGTTGCACAACTTCGATCCCGATGCGGCCTAGAACACCCTACGGCCTACGCTACCCTGCAGTACCCGCTGACGCCGGCGCAGCGCCCCCAGACGAAACACCAGCACCAGCAAAGGGGCCGGTTTCTGACGACGATGCAAGCATGGCGAGACATGGTGAGACGCCCTCAAGGTATTTCCTGCGCATCTGCCAGAACAGAGCAGCACTTTGCAAATGCTCCTGACAGAGTTGACATGTGGAAATTGCCACGCTGTAGACCAGCGGGCTCAGATAAACCTGTATCTCGCACATATTTCTGAGCAGAGACAGGCTTGCGTGCCAGTCCCGTCCATGCTGAAGTGCTGTCATGGTACCGCCAACGCTCACTTCATCTGGCGAGCTGCGCCCAACAATCATGGAGTGTAGCAGTGATACGGCATGCATCCAGCTTGCGTCTTTTGCTGCACTTATGGCAGCATTGTATGTGACTGTATCTGGCAGTAAGGCTGCAGCTAGCATGTCGTACAGCAGCGCTAAAGCAAACTCCCACTTTCCATCTTCGCAGCTTGCCACTACAGCATTGTATGAGACAGTGTCCGCTTCAATTTTCTGCAAAGCTACAGACTCAAGTAGATGCGATGCCATTTGCCACTGCCCAGCCTTCTCACAGGCACTGAGGACAGCATTCAGGCTTATCGTGTCCCTCCGTACATGCATATAGCAACTGAAGAAGAGCTGCAATGCGGCTCGCCATTTTCCGGCCTTTTCACAGGCACTGAGCGCCGAATTGATGGAGACGGTGTCGGGTGAGCAGCGTATTGCAGGAAGGTCATGCAGCAGGCGTGTCGCCAATTCCCAGTACCCTGATTTCTCACAGGCACTGATTCCCGAGCTCCAACAAATCACGTCTGCCTCCAGCAGTTGCAAGCGCATAAGTTCGAGCAAGCCTATTGCAATATCCCATCTCCCTGGCTTTTCACAGGCAGACAGGGCAGAGCTGTAGCTGATAACATCCGGCCGAGCCATGCCGTGCAGTATCAGAATAGCCACTTCCCACACCGGTTTGCAAGCACGCATAGCTGCGTTGAAGCACGCAGCATCTGGTACAACCTTGCAGTGGAGAAAAGACAAGTACCCACTTGCTTGCTGAACCAAAAAACTGCCGCTACAAAAGGCCACATCCAAGCAAGGCACCTCCGAACGGTGCATTACAGCGATTGCATCCAAAGCAAATTCCCACCGCAAAGCTGCTTCGAAAGCAGAGATCAAGCTCCCGAAGCTGACGACGTCGGCAGACACCTCCTCAGAGGCACGCAACGAGTCCCATCCGATCTTAGCCTGCTTCGAGGAGTCAGAAGTACATACCAATATCTGCAAATCGCCTGTTTCATACTTGCACATGACATCATCCGAACCTTCCGACAACCTTCCTATGCCGCTAACTTCCGAAGGACTCTTGGCAAGCCCACTGCAGACAAGCATCATGAACCTGCATTTGACGGAACACGGATGCTGCGAGTTGCCAGTCGCCGCTACACCCACAAGCACTTATTATCGAATTCCAACAAACTCTGTTGACAGGAGACCGTCGCGCAAGCAGATTTGCGATAACCTGCAGAGACTGCTGCCACAGTCCTTGCCGAGAGCATGCATCAACAGCTGCTCCATAGCTGACCTCATCAGGCTGAAGTTTTGCTGCTGGCATCTGTGACAAGAGCTGGAGGGCTGTCTCCCAACACGAAGCTTTGCCACAGACGCTGATCACTGCATTGAATCCGACCAGATCCTGGTTAGGTGCGGAGGTGAAAAAAAGATTGATGGCCGCCTCCCATTGGCTGCCGGCTTCACATGCACTCAAAGCTGCGTTGGAACTGTAAAGGCTTGGAGCGAATCCAGCCAAAGGCATCCCAGTTGCCAGTAGGTAGAGTGCAGGCTGCCAGCTCCCTGACTGCCGGCATGCAGTCAATTTCGCATGGTACGTGATCTCGCTTGGCCTAATGCCAGCGAGAGAAGAGAGGAGATTCAGGGACTGGCGCCAGCTGCTGGCCCTGTTGCATGCCGTGGCCCCTGCGTTGTAGCCGATCACATCCACTCGCCCCTTCTCCTCGGCCTCTGCCAAGCCGATCACGGAGAGCGCCTTCTCCCAGTCTTTTTGCAGAGCTCCCAGGACGGCTCCGTAGTGGAAGGCACGAGAACGGGCTCGCGAACGCTGCTCGTTCTCGTTCCCCTGCAGACCGCTGAACTGCAATTTGCCCAAAAGCCAGCAGGCAACATGAAACTTCCGCTCCTCCAAGGCAGGAAAATTCACAGCGCTACGCTGTTCCGGCTGCAGGCCTAAGGCTTAGCGGCGAAGCTCCTTGGTTAACCGCTGGAGCACCGATGTAGCCAAGCGCGAGTTGCGCCGAAACAACTCCAACTCCTTTTCCAGGCGGACAAGCTCCTTTGCGACTTCCAAAGCTTCAGAGGCTTGAACGGCTTGAGCTTGTGCATGCAAACAAAGCTGCGGCTCCTCTCTCTCGTGTTCAATGATTCTCATGCAAGATGCGGGCAGGGCACCACCTGCGACGTTCGAATCCGAACACTTGCAAAGGCCGAGCACTCGCACACATGGTACTTTGTAACCACAGGTCAAGAACATCTGTTGACATCCTTTCGCCACCATGCGCCACGTGGTCTTGGCGCAAAGCATTGATTTCTTCGTTTCAACGGTGTGGCTGCCCACTGCGTGGCGTGCTGCTGCTGTTTACATGTTTGCAATTTGCAAGCGAACTCTCCATAAGAGTTCTGTGCTTCAAGCTGTGGCATGGTCACGGTTATCGGCACGGGCTCGAATGCGAGCAACGAGTTCATGCAAGCGCGGACTGTCACATCCACAATTTGTCACTCCGGCAGTTCCCATTCCTTTTGAAACAACCTCTAGGCCAGCCCCCAGTGTTGTACACGACATCACGACAACACTGACTGCGCAGCATTGCCAATCCAAGATAGCAGCACCAATGTACCCTAACCTTGTCGCTTGTTTGCAGTCAGCTAGCGAGTTCTCTCATGTCTCTGAGGGTGGCGGTTCTGAGCACACCGACCTCGCCGCCACAGGTTCCATCAACTCAAGAACCACACGACTTGCAGGCTTCCTGTACTGTCTGCTGCTTGCCATGCGCTTTCGCCCTGTGCCGCCGACCCCTGCCAGTGCTCGCTGGTACAGTGCCTTGAACCGAAGTCCAGCAGCTTGCTGGCATCGAGCTACTCTGAAACATGCCGGCAGCAGATAGCCTTTTTTCTGCCAGACTTTGCAGCATCGGGATCGTCATTAGCAGACACAACTAACAGCATCCATGGCACGGTGCCTGGCAAAGTGCGCACTGGCCCCTTGACATTGACGTGACACTGCAACACAAACAGAGTGGCGTTAATTTGATCCTGCGGTATGTGCGTCATTTTAAGAAAGTAAACACGTCTGGCTGCATCGCTTAACTTGCTGTCACCTCGTGAGCTCTTAAACGTCAAATGACCCTTGAAGCACGCGTCCTATGTGGGCTTTTCCCTACTCATTGCAAACCGGAGCCCGCTTTGTGAGATGGAGACATCCGCAGTCTGCAACCCGCTACTCTGCCGACTCAGGCCCTGGAGCTGGAGGGCCTACAACGATCCCGAAGCAGCTTTGTGGCGTGTGCGAGAACGAAGCAAAGCAGCCTGGTCGCACTTGTGGACCTGGAGGCCATCTTCCTGGTCAGTGAAACATCACGTGCTCTCAGACTGCGGTGTTTGCTGAGCTTCCAACTCCCGCCGGAAAGGGTCACCCGCTCCTTTCAGATGCGTCCACAAATAACAATAGCTAGCAACCTGCTGTGTGTGTGTGTATGTGTGCGCGTGGGTTTGCTCTCCGCCTGCGGTGATGGAGAGACTGGAGCTTCTTTATCTGTAGGCCTTATGAGAAGCCCGGGTGCTGGCTTGCGACATGCAGTGCCGTGCAATCCCGGGCTCCGGCTTCGAGGACATTCCCTCAGCAACACCATTCTGAGCTGCACAGCGTGCGAGACTCTCTCCGAATGGCTTGCCGGGCTGCTATAAAGTCGGTCAGCTTCTCCACCAGAGAGCCAAGCTGGAGCACATCTGACGACAGACCGCCTGGTGCTGGCTTACTAAACCCCTTCTGCTGCGTCGCCACAGATGGATGCCAATTCGGAGAAGAGGTTGCGATGTGCTGCTGCTGATGGGAACGAATCTCTGGCTGATCTTCCGTGAATGGGGCATTGGGACAAAACAGCGACTGCTTGCTACATTTTTCTGCCCGATTCACGCCAACAAATCCAAGTCTTAAGTGTCTCTGATGCCATTGCAAAGCCTTGCAAGTACACTCGCAATACACTCGCATATACTCTTGCTCGCACATGCTCGGATCTCCCAGGATGGTGACGGCCAGGTGGCTGTTGCAACTGCACTCGACTGCACTATTCAATGCAGTATTGTATATGCAAACCACACGGGCTCATCAAGCTTGCTCCACCTTGCTCTGTGCTAGCTCCTGCTGATGAAGTCTGCGGCATGCTGCTCTGCTCCGTCGGTGTGACCTTCCAGAGATCAACCATCGCGCAGGCAGACAGAGAATCAGATAATAAAACATCGAGAGGCGAAATACTGGTTCAGGTTAGCGGCAAGAGCAAGGCAGCGCTGATCGAACCTTGACAAACGACAGGCAAGCCCTCTGCAGTGTAGCGACCACCATTGCATCAGAGCTTTCCCAGTTGGACCGAAGCATAATGCCGCAAAGTAGCTGGCTGATCCTGAGATGCGCAACGGCACGTTGTCGCAGCATGTCAGCTGGACTTTTGGACAATCTGTACGGAGTTTGTGCTGCGATCACCCTGCAACTGCAACACTATCAGAACATATCGAACCACAACTTCTTCCAGCTTCTTCGTCGAAGATACTGAGGGTATTACGCTGTACTCGATCCTACACCGGTCCTTCACACGTTTTCGTTGATTCAATCAAGCATCTTGTCCAGAAAGCTTGTGTGCTGCTCGTAGGCAGAGTGGTGCGAGGATCGATAAGATTTCTGTAAGGCCTCGGCTTCACTAGCGATCAAGGACAAGCTGCCGGAATCGTCCAGGTGTTGCGATTCCGCTAGATCCAAGGTGATCCACATTCGCCTATCGCCACTGCCCGAGCAGTTACCACTTGCACCGAGCTTCGGCAAGTGCGGCATCCAGGTGTTCAAGCCCCGACCGCACTCTCTCGACCGTGTCAGTCTCTTGCTCTGTGAAGACTTCACCGTCGGCATTGGCTTCAGCCATGGCTTCGGCATGCGGCAGCGTCTCTGCAGGCGCGTCTGCTCTCTGATGTCTCTGCTTCTCGGGCTCGGGCTCCTTCAAACAAACACGCGGGCAGACTCAGTGAGAGGTCGTGTCCGACTCCTGCGAGAGCTGCGCTGGCTCCGGCTCGTTCTGGTCCTGGTTTGGTCTCAAAGACGAGGAGACAAAGACTCGGGGCAGTTAAAGATTCCAGCGAAGCGCAGTTCCCTCCTGTCGCAGAGGCGGCGCAAGTTGAAGGCAGGTCTCTGCCGGGAGCTCGAGCGTCGACTCCTCTGGGGCATGGCTCCATGGGGCTAAGCGGCTAAGCGCTTTTGGGGGGCCGCGGCCCGCAGCGGCGCTTTACTCGCATCGCTTCCGTCCTCGTCGTCTTGCAGCGGCTTTTCGCATCTCCGCTCCTCTCAGTATCGTCTCAGACTCTACTCCACCCTCGCAAAGTTGCCACCAAGTCCTCGGGCAGCCAAAGCGTTTCCTGTAGCTTCTGCTGAAGCTGTTCTTGTTCGTGCCTCAGAAATCTGCACTTTCTGGGCCTCTGTTCACAAAGTGCATCCTGTCCATGAAGCCAAGGAGCTGCCACTGCTGCTGAAGTCTTTGCAGCTCCTGCATCTGCTGCTGCTGCATCTCATCCAACCTCAGATCGGACGGACCCCAAAGACCCGAAAACCGGCTAACCTGCAAGCGCTGACACAGCCACGAGATCCGAGGGCAGACACGCGACAGTGACATCTCGTGATGGTACTCAGGATGCTCCGAGATCACAGGCAAGGAAGTTGCTGGCAGCTCCAGTGACACCAAATCCTGATAGCGCGGCGAGCCAGGGTGATGGGCGAAAATGCAATACGCTCAGCAATCTGGCCTCAGACGAAAGCTCGCTTCCCCGTTGCATCTGTTCCTGCTGTTCATCAAACCTCGGCTTCCAGATCGCCAAGAAGAAGCTGAGTCAATGATGGCCGGAAAAATCGGTATAAAGCTTGCAGTGCATACAATGAAAAGTGTTGCTCGCTGACTCTCAGCTGTTAATACCACTTGGTGTTCCGACTGGACCGGGGTCAACCAGGTGAACTTTAAGTTTTTGTAGGCCCTTGTAGCGGCAGTTATATGGCAGCATTCTGGAGCTGAAGGTGTTCAACTCCGGTGGGGCCTACAGTTCTGACCGAGACGCTTGAACTTCAGGCCTACTGGCACGAGGCTCTCAGCTTGGTCCTTGGGACCTGCAGTCATGGAACTGTTGCAGCTGCTGCTTTTGATACGTCTCCAGTTCCTGCAGGTCGTCCTGGCTGCGATGGCTGGGTCCGTGGGAAACTAAATGTCCAACTCGCACAACCTGGTGACCGGTGAAAGGAAGAGTAAAGGGAGAGAAGAGTGCTGGGTGAATTCTCCTGGTGCAATCGCTGGCCTTGGAGCAGCTGCCGAGCCTCAGCAACAGCCCCTTCTCCTCCGAAAGCTGATCTGCCAGCGATTTCAACGCTCGTGAGTTGTTGACACACTGCCCGACATACCAGAGGCCAACACGAAAAACACTGCTGTGGTTTGAACACGCACTGACTTGATCCCAGCTGCACGTTCTTCGAGCTGGCGCTGTTGTTCCTGGCTTGCGAAGCTCACCGTAGTCGGCGTACATGTACAAATGAGCTTTCGAGCAATGCAAGCATCGCCTCCAGCTGCTTCCGCATCCGATCCAATCGTCTGCTTTTGTCGAGTTCGTCGTCCATGTCGTCCTTGCCCACAGTACAGCATGACTTTAGCTGCAATGAACTGGACTTCCAGTTCGGGAATGGGCGGAGACTTGTCAAACATATACGTAAGCTGCACTAAATCCGGTGAAACCTTGCACATGCGCTACAGTGGCCGGCATTGGCAGCTCCTGAACCAGACTGAACGGAACTGTCCGGGGGGTGCGGGTGCAGTATCGATGGGTATTATGGTTATTATTGGGAATGTCTGTATGACACACATACATATGTGTATGTATGTGTATATATATGTATATATGTAGTACAGTTATCTACATATGAACCCCCCCGTACCAATGCCTTTCTTCTAAATCTCAGCTTGAGTGAGGAAGGGGAATTGCCAGTAGGTCGCAACTTTCTTGCTTATGTTTACGCACAGAACTCTCGGAACAAGATAGAGCATTCAAACGGAATCGACATGTATTCAATTGAAAATGCCTCGAATCCGAGCTTCAAGATTCGTTTGAATCTTGGGTGTGGGGCATATTCATTGAATCCGCTTGAATATGCACCGGTGTGATTCCAAACCCGTGTGTTCGACAACAACATACAAACTATTTCAACATAACATATTATTCTGTAATCATTAGGAAGTAATCGGTAGCATAGCATCTAACTGGAACATCAATACGGATGAAAACTGAGCAGTTGAATAAACAGATAATGATAGGTAGTAGTTAAATACCTGCTCGTCCTTTAGAACTCGAAAGAAGTGTGAGATTGAGAAGGAGTGCGTCATAAGCGCGAAAACATGTGCGGAAATCACATGAGAAAACATAACGTTAGCAGGACGTACGTGAATTTTGCTTCAATATGAATGAAATATGCCTGAGAGATGCATTGAGTCTTGTGTTAACTATCAGGATGTATCAGGGAAATATTCGCTTCGGGCCCGTGGTTCCCTGCTTTCCTTTCCGGGAACCTCTTTCCCCGCTTCCTCTTGATCCCGTCCACGAGACGGCAGATCAGCCAACCGGAGATCTGTAGGCGCCCAATCGATGTATGTGTATATGCATACGTATATGTATATGTATGTATATATATATACATACACACACACATACAAAACGGCGCAAACAAAGTACAAGATCATGATGCTTCCGAGGAGAGCTGCCACGGGAGCCGAGTCTGGAGCCGAGTCATCCTGGGACATGGTCGGGCTCCTGCTCGGCGGCGATCGTGAAAAATGTGGATATGCTTGATCGCTTCTTGGACCGCTTCGCCAAAGTTCGAGGTTCGAGGCGACGTGAAGAGTGGAACGACCACCGACGTTTTCATCAGGTAGCCGTAGCCTGCGGAGATCGCCCGCCGCCTTGCTGGAGCGGCTTTGAGGCGAATCGCCATGGGCCGTCTGCAAGAACAGCCCGCCGTGGTCCCATGTTGACTTGGGCTGTCGGTGACTCTGGAAGAATCTTGGCATCGAGGGGTTGCCGTGAAGAGGATAAGACACTGGCCGTCGGTCGATCTGGTTGATCACCTTCGACGGGTCGTCGTCGGTGATTTCGCGCAGTTTGACAGTTGCGACAAGTGTCGATCATCGCTGCCAGCAAAGCCCCGCCGATACCATCATAGGACGGTCACTACCCGCAGGCCCTGTGCCGCTACCGATGTGGCGGCCGCCTAGGAAAGCGGGCAACATAGCGGCCGAGGAGCTGTGTGATGGCGCAGGCTGCCAGAAAGCATGCCTTGGCCACGCTGGCGGCACATTCTGGACTGCCGTCGGCCACGGCCTCCAAGACCAAGTTGAAACGTGGCCACCAATACCGGTTTAGTCCTGAGCTCAGTCGTCGATGTGGGGAACTGGCAACTTGGAGCCGTCCGCCATCGTCCGACAGCCGGGCCGGGCTACGCAGGCCGTGCACAGCAGGTGGATCACGGCCGAGCACACGCATCTGAGCGAGCGTCGTGTGAGCTCTGCTTGGCCACCTCAAGAGATCTTGTTACGCAGTGGCTTCTTATACTTCGCAACGCTTCGCAGCAGCGAGTGCGAACGTAGGACCGGCCGATCCGTGCCGAGCATCTCCTATCTGGAGCTGCGGCGGTGCTAAATGCAGTCAGTCTCTGGATGTTTGTGGAATATCTCGAGCTCGCCCATCGACGGACTAAACGAAAGTGCAAGCTGTGCCAGGCATCAAAAACCATAACGTCCGCAGGGGTGTCACGAGCATCCGGGCGTTGAGGATGCTCTTTCCAAGTCACGCCCTCTGCGAAAAAATACTTTTCAAAACCAATTTCGGGAGACCATCATTGAACATGTCACGATGGGCCACGGTCGCTTCGTTGAACAACACTGCCAGCGACGTGAAGGAGATGTGGGCCGGGAATGGCCACCGCATGTACCGAGCTAACGCGTCGATTGCTTTCGGAACCTCTCGGCACGAAGCCGCAGACCCGTCACACACCATCCCAGGCCCTATGAAAAGCTCGATCAAAAATGTTCCGGGCGATCGCCTGGAGCCAAAATCGACACGGCATCACCCGATCCAGGCTGCTCTCGATCGACCGACGAGACTCATTTCGAAATTCCAACCTACTGGTACCAAGCCGAAAGTGTTCGGAACAGACAGCTCTGTGCTGGATTACAAAGTTCTCTGCGTGCATACGTATATATATATATATATGTATATATATATGTATTATACTATGCACTTGATTATACATTATATTATACATTATATTATACATCATATTATATTATCTTATCTTATGTTATACTATATGTTATAATATATTATGTTCATTTGCTTTTTGTTTATACTTGTATTATGTATATATCGACTTCTATGCGTACATATATATATATACATACATATATGTGTGTGTGTATACGTACATACATATATATATATATATGTATGTAGATGTACGTATGCGTATGTGTGAGGTGTGTGTGTGTGTCTATATATATATATACATATGTGTTTGTATGTATGTATGTATGTATGTATGTATGTATGTGTATATATGTACACATGTAGGTATGAATGTATGCATGTATGTATGTATGCATGTATGTGTGTAGGTATGAATGAATATGTGTATATATAAACATATGTGTATATACTATGTGTATATCCGCCGACCCCTGCTGG